TTGAAAATAAAAACGGTTTTGTGTAGGAAAGAGACACCGAATGTTTGTGATGGTAAGAGCAAGTTGCAAAAAGTTCAGGGTTCGTGTTCCACGAATGTCGCACACTTTTGCAAGTTTTACTCTCGATTTGGCTTGATTTTCTGTTTTGGAAAATGCAAATGTGTGAGCTATTTCTACCTCCTGGGGTTACATGGATATGTATGGAAGCTTGTTTCTGCCACAGAATTAAAAAAAAAATGTGAATGCGAGTATTTATCTCAAAGTTTCTCGCAAATTTTCTCGCAATTCAACTAGATATAAACTCGCAATTCTGAGAGGATAAGTCAGAATTATGAGATATAAATTTGCTATTGCAAGAAAAACAGTCAGAATTGTGAGATAAAAAGTCGCAATTACCTTTTTTTATTTTTTTATTCGGTAGCGGAAGCAAAAAACTAAATTGTGAGATGTAAACTCAGAATTCTGAGAAAAAAAGGTCAGAATTGCAAGACATAAAGTCAGCACTGAGAGAAGTAAACTTGAAATTGAAAAAAAAAGTCAGAAAGTTTATATTTCGCAATTCTGTTTATTTCTCATAATTCTTGTAAATTACGTAAATTGTACATTTCTCGTAAATCTTTTTCTCAGAATTTCTAAAAACAAAGTCCAAATTGTGAGATTTAAACTCAGAATTACAAGAAAAAAAGCCAGAATTGTGAGATAAAAAGTCGCAATTACCTTTTTTAATTTTTTTATTCGGTAGCGGAAGCAAAAAACAGAATTGCGAGATGTAAACTCAGAATTCTGAAAAAAAAAGTCAGAATTGCAAGATATAAAGTCAGAACTGAGAGACGTAAACTTGAAATTGAAAAAAAAAAGTCAGAAAGTTTATATTTCGCAATTCTGTTTATTTCTCGTAATTCTTGTAAATTACATAAATTGTAAATTTCTCGTAAAAAAATTTTTCTCAGAATTTCTAAAAACAAAGTCAAAATTTTGAGATTTAAAGAAAAAAAGTCAGAATTGTGAGATAAAAAGTGGAAATTACCTTTTTATTTTTTATTCCATAGCGGGGAAAAAAAATAATAATTGCGAGGTGTGAACTCAGAATTCTGAGAAAAAAAGTCAGACTTGTGAAATATAAACTCTGAATTGTGAGATGTGAATTTGTAATTGTAAGAAAAAAGTCAGAACTATGAGATAAAAAGTCACAATTAGCTTTTATTTATTTAGTTTTTTTTTTATTCTGTGGTGGAAACGGGCTTTCCGTGGATATGTAAAGTGCGTTTTTAAAGCAGAGTTTTTGTTTAAAACCATTTTACCATAAAGATTATTGTGAGTATGCATGCTTTTACTCGATTGCCCTCATTTTGAGTGCCTTATCACTTCTGTGTCTACCTTCGCCATAATGGCGAGAGAGCAGGAAAATGCAGTAGATCACCTAACACTGTTTAAAACAAAGAGGGCAAATCTGCTGTTGCATAAAGGGGTTACAGCGGGACAAAACCAATCTCAGCATGTAACACTTGCTTTTGATTTCTCAGTGTTTTTAATCTATGAACTACGTGCTAATTACATCATCACCAAAGCAATTACACCTAACTGGGTGCTTAAGTATTTTCCTAATAAAAAATATTGTATTTTAAAACAAAGAAAGATAGAAAAAAAACATTGTATTTTAATGTACAATTTCAATATTTCAGTTGTTCTCTCAATTTTTGTAAGGCGTGCCATTGGTCAACAGAAGATTTTGAACAGCACCAAGTGAAATTAACCGTTAATTCCATATCAAAATGTGCAATAAGATCTGGGCTATTCCGATCCACGTTTTCTCAGGTTCTTTCAGTAATGTAGAAACACTCTAGGTTTTTAATGTCAGTATATACAGTATGTGGAGTCATGGATTCAGTACTCTTTTTTACGTTTATGCTTCCACACATCGCATCCATCTTGGTGTTAATTTTTTTTTTTAACCCACAATCACCTGCAATGGTTACATATGATTTTTAATGTCAGACATAATCAGTGACAATTAATTGGAGTCATCTGATTATTTATGGCATCATATATTGGTACATTATGGAAAGCACATGTTGATGTTGCATAAATAACTGAGGACTGTTTATTTCGTTGTACATTCTCCTTTTGGAACTTTGTGTGTGTGTGTGTGTGTGTGTGTGTGTGTGTGTGTGTGTGTGTGTGTATGTAAGTTTCTAAACTAATCTGTAATATCTTAACCAAAGAATCGAATGTGAACACCATCCCAGTCTTGCCTTATTGTGTGCTTCAGGTCTTCTGTGACATTTTAAAAGAACAACCATGCTTCTGTGTGAGTGTGTGTGTGTGTTTGTGTGTATTTGTGCACCTGTGTGTGAGAGAGAAAAAATAGAAATTAATTTTGAAATTCTACAAATTGTTTTGTGTATATTTTAAGAATGTTACAGGAAAAATGTTTTTATGTCTATTCTTTTTTCATCTTTATTTTTTTTTGTTTTGTTTGTTCCAGTATCATATTGTTCTGATTAATATGAAATAAGGGTTGTAACATCTTCAGTTTCATGTATTTGCTCATTAAAGTGACTTTCGTGCCCTGGAAGCTATAACATCCAAATTGCTTTTGAAATAGAAATTAATTTTGAAATTCTACAAATTGTTTTGTGTATATTTTAAGAATGTTACAGGAAAAATGTTTTTATGTCTATTCTTTTTTCATCTTTATTTTTTTTTGTTTTGTTTGTTCCAGTATCATATTGTTCTGATTAATATGAAATAAGGGTTGTAACATCTTCAGTTTCATGTATTTGCTCATTAAAGTGACTTTCGTGCCCTGGAAGCTATAACATCCAAATTGCTTTTGTTGTTGTTATACAGTATATCAAGAAGAAAAAAAAACATTATAATGTAATAATATAATTAGGATAATTAATACTAGGCAACAGCTGTGACTGTATAGGGTCACATTTAACTGCATTTATTAATATAAAGTACAATGAAAAAATTGGTATAACATCTATAAATTAACAGTTTTTTTTTTAAATAAAATAAATTATTATTTAGCATCACTAAATCAACCCAAATACATTTATTTATACCAACGCATTTATTAATATAAAGTACAATGAAAAAATTGGTATAACATCTATAAATTAACAGTTGTTTTTTTTTTTAAATAAAATAAATTATTATTTAGCATCACTAAATCAACCCAAATACATTTATTTATACCAATAAAATTGTTTTTATGGGTTAAATCAGGTAAAATTGCTCCGTAAGGTAACAATTGCAGGTTTCCACTTTTTACAGCGTATCAATTAAATGCACAGAGTCTATTTTAAATGAAGTTTAAAGAGGATTAAAACTGTGATCAGTTTATAGGGTTTTCCTCTGTCCTCATCAAAAGACAGTTCCTTAATCATGCCATTTTCCTGGAAAAAAATATCATTATAGGGTCACATTTAACTGCATTTATTAATATAAAGTACAATGAAAAAATTGGTATAACATCTATAAATTAACAGTTGTTTTTTTTTTTAAATAAAATAAATTATTATTTAGCATCACTAAATCAACCCAAATACATTTATTTATACCAACAAAATTGTTTTTATGGGTTAAATCAGGTAAAATTGCTCCGTAAGGTAACAATTGCAGGTTTCCACTTTTTACAGCGTATCGATTAAATGCACAGAGTCTATTTTAAATGAAGTTTAAAGAGGATTAAAACTGTGATCAGTTTATAGGTTTTTCCTCTGTCCTCATCAAAAGACAGTTCCTTAATCATGCCATTTTCCTGGAAAAAAATATCATTTTTGTTGATAAAAAAGAAACAGTACAAATGTCAATAAGCATTATCAATGGAATTGATGAAATAAGTCCAATCATGCCTAACTTTATCTCTTTGTTTCCATCCCTTAAACTGCCCCACTATTGTGTAGCCTAAATAATTAATTTAAACAAGTTTTAATTAATAATGTTAAAGTGTCTGAGCTTGACCAGAGCATATTTATGAAAATCTTCTACTTTTACATGAATACTAACTTGAATGTAAACATTGATTTTACACTGACAGAGTAGGCAGGAATCAGAAAACTCTTTAAATAACCCCTTAAATGAATTAATACACTGTATAATGATATAATCTATCACATGATTAGGATTATTAATTATCACTATTCATTGTAAGCAACATTTACTGTAGTTACAGAACACTTGCCTGGGATAAATGTGGCATTGAATGGGCTAACTACACTACCCACAATGCAGGCGGCTGTTTCTATCCAGTAGCGCATGAGCTGCACTGCGTTGTGTGCTGCTGGGTGCTGCACTGGATACAGTGGAGGTCATTTGACGGGACGGTGATGGTAATCGATCAGTCAAAGAGAGAACCCAGTCACGAGCTCAGAAAGAGGGCGGAGCATCGGTCTGAGCGCCAGGCGCATGCAGGTATTATTATTTACACGACTCAAGAGTTTAAAGTACGCTTGAACCCATTTTGCTAAGCTAAGAGATACTATCGACCAAAACAAAATCTGACTGTCAGTGTGAATCGTTTTAACGAATGAAAGAGCAGCAGGGTTTCAGATGTCACTGAGTTTGGCTGCTCGGTGGATTAGTTTGGAGCTCCGCCTCCGGACTGAGCGGGCTTTAAAGCGCTCTCCGCTGACGGACGGACTGACGGACTGAAGCCCGAGCAGCGCGGCATCATGCCAACAGCGCGGCCCGACACACTGCGCGTCTTCTCTCTCAACTGCTGGTGAGCTCAAATGATGCTTCCGCGTCAAAGTGACGCACGGAAGACGCGTTTGAATTAGAAGCGCTCCGGAACGATGTTCGGTGCTTTATAGAAATGTATTGAGTTAATTATGCATTGAGTTGTTTATGAATATTTTACGAGTTTGCTACACACGTCCGGTTTTAAGTAAATAATCTAGTAATTTGTTTAGATAACTTTTTTTTCATCCATCCAGCTCAAAGCTTCAGCAAAGTAAAGCACCTAGAGGCATAAATTATAAAATCGACCAAAACAAAATCTGACTGTCAGTGTGAATCGTTTTAACGAATGAAAGAGCAGCAGGGTTTCAGATGTCACTGAGTTTGGCTGCTCGGTGGATTAGTTTGGAGCTCCGCCTCCGGACTGAGCGGGCTTTAAAGCGCTCTCCGCTGACGGACGGACTGACGGACTGAAGCCCGAGCAGCGCGGCATCATGCCAACAGCGCGGCCCGACACACTGCGCGTCTTCTCTCTCAACTGCTGGTGAGCTCAAATGATGCTTCCGCGTCAAAGTGACGCACGGAAGACGCGTTTGAATTAGAAGCGCTCCGGAACGATGTTCGGTGCTTTATAGAAATGTATTGAGTTAATTATGCATTGAGTTGTTTATGAATATTTTACGAGTTTGCTACACACGTCCGGTTTTAAGTAAATAATCTAGTAATTTGTTTAGATAACTTTTTTTTCATCCATCCAGCTCAAAGCTTCAGCAAAGTAAAGCACCTAGAGGTGTAAATTATAAAATTAATATGTTCGAAAAAATGTAGCATTCTATATTTAATTAATTAATTAATTTTGAAGGCGTTATATGCACTCTTATAGTATTTATTAATATATAGTGTTTAATTTATAAATTTTTTATTTATAGTATATATTTTATTAATAATTTGAATTTGTTTTTATTTAATATTTCCCATTTTCCCATTGTATTTTTGTCAGGTTTTTTTATGTCTATATAGTTTTTATTCATTTTTATTTCAGTTTTACTTTAAGTTATTTTAGGACATCAATTTACAGTACATGAAAGTGAAAAATGGTTCATTGTCAAATAGCTTTTTATGTTATTTCAGTTCATGTTTATTTTATTTAAACTAACATTTGTTATGGTTTTATTCTTAGTTAACAGTAATAACCTTGATATATGTCATTTTAAATAGGGTTTCCAGACCTTGGAATATCACAGTTTATCAAATCTTCAAAATAATGGACTGTACATTTTTTCACTGTACACTGGAATGTACGTTTTTTCTAGTATGGCTCAGCGCCAAAATATTGTATTGCTTAAGACACTGTTTCAGAGACCAGACAACCTTTGCATTGAAAACTTTTAGAAATTGACCCGACATACAGACTATATTTGATATATTTGACATAAATATTTTTTATTATGCGTTTTTAAAAAAACGAAGCATTAACACATGTTAGACTGCACCCCATAAACACAATCAATCCTAGAAAAAAAACAGTGAACCACCCCTTTAAATGTGGAGCATAATGACTGCATATGTGTACACAATAAATGCTATTTGGGTTTTGTATGTGGGTTAGAGGTAGACCACAAGACAATAGTGACTATGGTTTCGTGTTTTTCAGGGGAATTCGATTCTTCAGTCAACTCTGTACACAGCGGTATGAGATGATCGGAGAATTACTGGGCCGAGAGCAGCACGACATCGCCCTGTTACAGGAAGTGGGTTTTACTCTACACTTTTAACCCCCTTATCCTCTGACTGTCTTTAGGGATGCATTCTGTGCCCTTGTGGCTTTAACACTTAATTTTGCTTCATTTCCCTGATGGATGAATAACACTGTGTCCTAAACAGATATGTGGTTGTGGCTGGTTAAAACGTTTGGGCTCGGTAAAAGTGCTTAATGTTTTTGAAAGAAGTCTCTTACGTTCAACCAGGCAGCATTTATTTGATCGAAAATACAGTAATATTGCAAAATATTTAAAATGACTGTTTACTTCTTGAATATGTTTTAAAAAAAAATTTTTTTTCCTGTGATCAAAGCTGAATTGTCAGCATCATTACTCCAGTCTTCAGTGTCACATGATCCTTCAGAAATCAGTATAATATGCTGATTTGTTTTTTGTTTTTCCTCTGCTTAATATTTTTAAGGAAACCATGATACACTACCATTTGAAGTTTTGGGCTACGTAAAAGAAAAGATAAAAAATGATGCTGAAAATTCAGCTTTGGCATTAAAAGAATAAATTACATTTTAAAATATATTCAAATAGAAAACAGTTTTTTATTGTAATAATATTTCACTATATTGCTGTTTTTTTACTGTATTTTAACAAATAAATGCAGCCTTTATAAGAGATTTCTTTAAAAAAATAAAAATTAAAATCATAATTACTCTGAGTGTAGGTTAATGAATTCTTCAAAAGTAATGGAATGTTTTTTAATTGAATTTAGTTTTTCTTTAGCTATGCTCAGCTCCAAAACATACTTTTGTTCTTTGTGATTTGTAAAATAATAATAATAATAATAATAATTTAAAAAATGCTCATAACACAGTATAAGAGACCAGAAAACCTTTGCATTGCATGCACATATGAAAAACTTAAATGTCTGTATAAGTTTTCAGTGCTTGCTAGAAACACACATAAACTGATCTTAGTATCTTTAACATTGTTCTAGGTGTGGAGTGAAAGAGATTTCCTTTTCCTGAAGAGAAAGCTGTCCTCCTCTCATCCTTACACTCACTATTTCAAGAGGTCAGTTCAACTCGCCGTGACATGAGGGACTTTGAATGTTGCTTTATACTTCAAAGCAGTTGGGTTTTTTGAAAGAAAGACTTTGAAACCTTCTGATCAGCGATCAAGCGGCTAGACGCTCTCACACATTCCAGAGAGAAAAAGATTCCTCGTCAAACGACGGGAAACAAAATCCCCACTTAAAGGGATAGTTCACCAAAAACAAAAACAAAAAAAATCTTACTTTACTTTTACTTTTAGTCATTTAGCAGACGCTTTTATCCAAAGCGACTTACAAATAAGAAAAAGTAATTAAAACTAAAAGTTAAAACTCTATAAATATTATATATATACACATTTAAGAAAATAAAATAAATTAAATACAGATTAACAAAACGAAAGGAAAAGACTGAGAGATATAGGCTATGTTGCTGAGTTTGGTTCATATGCTATTTGTGTGGCGCGGCGCTCTACGAAAGTCCAGGGAAAGGAAACCGAGATGACAGAAATAAAGTAAACACATTGCAGTTTCGAATGATCTGTATGACCAAAAATACAGAGTATTTTTTTGTTGTTTGTTTCCGCTGTTCGATCGCGCCGGCGCCTCACGCACACACATACAGCATTGCAAACGTTGTAGCCTGTTCATTATCAGAATAAAATAGTCAACCAAACATATAGATACACTGGTTAATTTAAATAGTGCGTAGCCTACTGTGTAGTACAATCCGTGCCGTTCAGCCTGAGCTCGGGCCAAATTACATTTGCTCATGTGACGACGATGTTTTTTAAGCGCGTTAGCCTGGATTACATAATGAATAATAGTTTAGCATTCAAATACATCGCAAATATGGACACATTTAATTGGATTAATGCCGAATGAGAGAGGTAGGCTGCGCGAGAACGCCGTTTGCTTTCAGTTTCGCATTGAATTAGCCTAATTCATTTTGGTTTGTTTAGCAACTTATATTTTTCATTCTTGTTTTCTTCTGAAACCGTTCAAAATAGCCTATAGGCTAGGTATTGTGTTTATTGTTTGTACATGATAATATTTCGCTTTATTTACCAGTGTTATTTATGAATGTAATAATGCGATTTGTGCTTATATTTTTTAACCTAAACTACAACGTAACATTAATGTAGACCTACATACCGGTATCTAAATATGATTTCATATATTTTATGCTATATAGACCTACCACGTTACCCTCCACTGGATGTAGAATGAGCAGCATTAAACTACATTTTGGCATTTTACAATACTTATGTGGATATTTTGGATGAAAGTAACTCAAAAGTAACTCAAAAGTAGTGTAATGCATTACAATTCAGAGACAGTAATATTGTAATGTAACTAATTACTTTCAAAAGACAGTAACTAGTAATATATAATGTATTACATTTTGGAAGTAACTTGCCCAACACTGTATACAGCCACACACATATACATGTACATATATATATAAATATCATCGATGGTCTTTACACTCTTCGGTCTTACCACGACCGCAGCCGCGACCGCTTCCGCGGTAAACTAAGCTTCTTTTTTATTCGTTTAACAAAACTCAAAATTGAATTCAGCTGGACACACTTTCCTGTTTATCACAACAAATGGCCAAGCAAAGCGTACGACACTGACAAGGTACGCGATACAGTACGAGACCAAACGCGATTTCAGCACGTCTCCACAGTAAACAAAACAAGCGTTTCCTAGCAACGACAACTGCGCTAAACACTGAGACAAGAAATAAATATACTTACAAGCTGCTTTTAACTTCTGCTGATTGACTGCTTCTCACAAAGAGTATTTCTTTACACTGTTTTGCTGGCGCTTGAACACACTTTCCTGTTTATCACAACAAATGGCCAAGCAAAGCGCACAACACTGACAAGGTACGCAATACAGTACGAGACCAAATCTGTCATCATTTACTCACCCCTGTGTCGTTTCAAACCTGTATGACTTTTTTTCTTCCGTGGAAACACAAAAGGAGAAATTGTAAAGCATTCTGACAGGAACAGACCAACATTTAAGTTATTTAATAAAACAAACTAACAAATTTGGTGTGTCGCGTTTGGTTACAAGACACCAAAGAACGTCTCGGTTACGTATGGTAACCCTCGTTCCCTGAAGGAGGGAACGGAGACGTCACGTCGGATGACCGACGAAATTGGGATCTCGCTTAGAGAGACCAATCTACTTTGGTGCACTTGCAATCACGCCGTAGCGTGTAAGGCGGAGGCAGCTTCTCCACAGGTCGTATAAGCATCGCTGGCCAGTCGAGTACCTACAGACCCGGGAGGGGAGGCACGGTTCTCCCTGCCGGTTGGAGGCGGTATTAGGACACAACTGCATCGCAACCGACCGCTCCACCGGGGGGACCCTTGTAACCCCCTAGCTGCCCCACCATCGAGGGTGGTGAGGGAGGAGGAACCAGCAGATCGGTTTCCGGCAGTAAAAAGGTGCCGTCCACGACCTGTTGAGCTCCTCATGCACCTCCGGGAAGAAAGGCACCGAGGCGGGGCACTGAGAACCAGCGCGGACCACCCCGAGAACCAATCGTGCAACCTTGAGGGCTCGGGACACGGTGGAAGTCTCCACTCGAGCCCTACCCCTACGGCGGCCCGGGAAAGCATAGCCATTATTTCTGGATCCGATTCAGGCATTGCTACAGTCCCGGAGGACAGCAGTGCAGCCGAACCTTCCTCTCCAGAAAGCGCCGGCTCACCCTCCGATGCAGCGATCGACATCCGGTCGTCGGGAGGAGCGCCAAAGGATACTGCTGGTACGCTCCTTGTAGAGGGCTCAGCACGTTCCATTGGCAGCTCAACTGGCTGCGGAGTGCCTCAGACCGCCCGCGCTACTGCCTGAAGTAGCCCCCCCTGGCTGCCGCCAAGAGGAGAACTAGATCAAGGCAGAGGCAACGGAACTCCGCCCCTTAGGAAACGGAGCTTGGCTCGCGACTCCGAGATGATCATCTTCCTGCAATGAGAAGATGACTCATCCACAAACGTCATCTCAGCGTGCTACATGCCCAGGCACGTGAGGCCGCGATCGTGACCATCACCCAGCGCCAGGTAACGACCGCATCCAGAAACGCTCGGTTGATACGTTGTCTATAGCAAGACCCACATCGTCTTTGCAAAGACGTAACGTCAAGTTTGCCACGCAACGTCGTCTTTAAAAAGACGCACCCGAAATTGCTCTTTTAGCGTGCTGAGGCGCACAGGGGAGATGATCATCTGCAACACAAACAGGGGGTAGTGCAGCCTGGTGTGTGCAACCCACTCGACACGGGAAACCACCACCGCTGAAGCGCCGTACCGCCAACACGAAGAGCTCTCCAAGAGCGCGCTGAACTCGTTCAGTCTTTTTCTCTCAGTAGAGTAGTCAGGAGGAGAACGATGTGATCGCTCGGCTCCGAAGCGATAAGCTGAATATGCGCTGCATCTGCTGCCTACTTATACTCACGCTGTGATCAGTGGCAGCTGGATGCAATAATCGCATGCCAATGTGCATTAGCTCGTTTAGTTTACACTCGAAGTAGATTGGTCTCTCTAAGCGAGATCCCAATTTCGTCGGTCATCCGACGTGACGTCGAGAGTGACCGACTGAAAGGGAACTAAAGTCGTTTGGTGTCCCTTCATCACTGTCTGCTTTCATTGTATGGAAAATAGCAGGTTAGACATTCTTCAAAAGTTCTCCTTTTGTGTTTCATGAATGAAATGGTTTTGGAACTTGAATAAGTGAATAAATTAAGACTTTTTATTATTTTTGGGTGAACTATCCCTTTAAGAAACGTAAAATCTTCTTTTGAGACATTTGATTGAATATTCCATCATATTCTGAGTCTTCTCAGTGACTTTTACATTTTATCCTTATCATTATGAGACATGAAAAATAAGCATTGATCTTAAAGCATGCAATCAATGAAGCTGATTCGTCAGAATTTGTAATAAAGGAAGCAGTACTATCTACAGTTAATGCTTCTCCCTGAAGCATGTAGTCAATTAGGAATTAGAAGCTTCCAGCTTTTCACATTATTGGTGGTGTTTGCTATTTCTATTGCATATCCTTAATCCACCTTTTCAGTATTTTCGACATTTGCGCACGATTGCAGCATTTTATCCTGTAGTGGCAGACGTGCAGAACTTTCAAATTAGTTTTGAGGCAGGCTGCTGTCTGCTTATTCACCATGGTAAAATGAATAAATAAGGGATGTATCAAAGTAATATTTCAACCAAATGAAAATTTGCTGAAAATCTACACAACCTCAGGCCATCCAAGATGTAAATGAGTTTCTTCATCAGAACAGATTTAGAGAAATGTAGCTTTACATCACTTGCTCACCAGTGGATCCTCTGCAGTGAATGGGTGCCGTCAGAATGAGAGTCCAAACAGCTGATAAAAACATCACAATAATCCACAAGTAATCTACACCACTCCAGTCCATCAGTTAACGTCTTGTGAAAAGCTGTGTGCTTGCAATAAACAAATCTATCATCAGTGAGCAAGTGATCCATTGGTGAGCAATGCTAAATCTGTTCTGATGAAGAAACAAACTCATCTGCATGTTGGATGGCCTGAGGGTGAGTACATTTTCATTTTTGGGTGAACTATTCCTTTATTATGTCCGCACAAAACAAAAGACTGCCAATATGTTCAAAAGAAAAGAAAGGTTTTCTAGGGCTACTCAACATAGATAATAACCCTAGTCTCAAGTGTGTAGATGAGAGTCAAGCAAAAGGCTTTTGTCTTCAGTCTCCCTAATAATACTTGAAAAATGAGTGCAGCTGTGTGATTGCTGGGATATATATACAGCAAGAGATACATAAAGGCAAATGTTATTTTGTAGCTGTATGTTCTAGTATCTGATAGTATGTGGTGTTTTTACAGTGGAGTCATTGGCAGTGGGCTTGCTGTGTTCTCCAAACACAGGATCCAGGACGCTCTGCTCTACCAGTACTCTCTCAATGGCTACCCATATATGGTATGTTATTTATGCATACTTCATTCTGATTGGTCAATCTGCCTTCAAATATTTTTGTATGATGACACTTAACTGTATAATTTATTTTTTGTACCAGGTACTGATCTCCTAAATAGGTGTGCTAGTTTCATAATTAATTGTTTCATATTCCAGTTTCTCTCTTCTCACATAATATAAACTCAAAATTATTTCATTTCAATTTATTTATTTATCATTTTATGATAGTGACTGGCTGACTGTACATTATTGCTTGCTTATCACTGTGTGTTTGAGAGTGGCCTTTGTACATCACTAGAAGAGATTCTAAGAAAACTCTTGGCCAAGACATCAGAATTTAGTATTTATTCATAGCTTACATTATATCTGTCAGAAGCTTATATTAGCAATAACATAAAATGATACCTGTTGTGAAAAACAAGTGTGCTTAATTGTATTGAATGTGCATTTTTAGTGTATTTCGAATCTTATAAGTATATTTAAAAAAAAATCTTTACTAGCAGATTATTTAATATTAATCAAATTAAAATGCTTAATGAAATGCTTTAAAGTACACATATTTTGTTGTGTTGACTAACATACTAAAGCACATATAAAGTATAATTGTATCATTTTAACTGTAGTGTGTTATTTAATATTATATTTAAAGTTAATATATTTCAAATGTACTAAATTGCTCATTTTTACACATTACAAATATATTTAAATATATGACATACAAGTTTCAATAGAAATGACATTAAAGTAGATTGTAGTTTACCATAAATGCTTGTCAGTACTTTCATCATTACACTTCAACCATATTAACCAACATACAACAGAAGTAATTATGAAATTATATATAAATATGTATATAAGTCCTATACTCAAAGTTCAGTTGATTGCATGTAATAAGAATTTGAACTATAATACATTTTCATTTAATTGAAATTAACATGCAATTAAGTATCTCAAAACATTACATTCAGTTTGCACTTCAACTCTTTTAAAGTATATTATTTCTGTAATAAGTGCTCTTTTTAAAAGTATGTCCAAGGACATGTATGGACATAATGTGACTAGAATTGAAGAACAGCAAGAATTGCATTAACTTTTATACGTACGTGTGTGTGTGTGTGTGTGTGTATGTGTGTGTGTGTGTGTGTGTGTGTGTGTGTGTGTTCATCTCAGCTGCACCATGGCGACTGGTTTGGAGGCAAAGCAGTTGGGTTGGTCATTGTAGACATTTTTGGATTAAAGGCACACGTCTACGTTACTCATGTAAGTCCAATCTGGCTTTAATAGGTCTCGAGGTGTGTTCTTCATGTTCACTTGGGTTTATTTATGAGCAACTGGAGACAATGCACCTTCAGTAATGATACTGCTTTCCTCTCAGTTACATGCAGAGTACTCCAGGGCTCAAGATGAATACCTGACCCACAGAATAGTGCAGTCGTGGGAACTACTGCAGTTCGTGCGGTAAGAACAAGTGTGTTGTAGAGAAAGGAGGTCACATGCTTTTGGTAAACTCATACCGTATGGCCTCTTTAGCCACACGTCCTGCGGAGCAGATCTGGTGGTTCTGGGAGGGGATCTGAACATGCACCCTCAGGACCTGGGAAACCGACTCCTCAGATCCCACACTGGGCTCAGAGACTGCTACACTGAAACAGACACGTTTGATGTGAGCGCACTTCCTTTTACATGTTTATCTAGTTTGTGTGTTCAGTTTTGATTGGAATCGTCACTGTGTGTTGCTCTCGGCAGGGCTGTGAAGATGGTCACACGCTAATAGCAGACAATCACTTCACAAAGAAGCAAGATCTTGTTCCTTTCGAGAAGGGCATCAGGATTGACTACATTCTCATGAAGGTAAAATAATCTCGAAAGAAATTCAAATATATAGACTACATTCAAAAGTTTGGGGTCAGTGTTTTTTTTTTTTTTAAGAAATTAATACTTTTATTCAGCAAGGATGCATTAAAGTGATCCAAAGTGACATTAAAGATGTTTATAATGCTATGAAAGATTTCTATTTCAAATAATTGCTCTTCTTTTGAACCCTCTATTCATCAAAGAATCCTGAAATAAAATGTATTACAGTTTTCACAAAAATATGAAGCAGCTTAACTGTTTTCAACATTGATAATAATATGAATATGTTTCTTGAGCAGCAAATCAGCATATCAGAATGATTTCTGAAGGATCACGTGACACTGAAGACTGGAGTAATGATACTGAAAATTCAGCTTTGCCATCATAAGAATAAATTACATTATAAAACGGATAGTTCCGGTCCTTGATTCTGATTGGTTGAGCCGCGTTCAAAGCTGTTGTAAATTGTTCTACAAACATACACCTTTGTTTACTTCAGTGTGTTGCTCGGCAACCACTTTGTTGGAACCACAACCGTTTCTGAGGAACTACATTGTTTGGTGGAAGAATACTGTTTTTATTATCATTACACTTAATTTGCTCTGTTTTATTTTGTGAAACCTTACTACGTATATGGAATAACTGTTTTAAAAAAGCAGTAAGCCCCGTGAAGCCGTGGTTTACAGTGAATTTATAACAGCGCCCCATAGCTGTTATAAATTCACTGTAAACCACGGCTTCTTGGGGTTTATTGCTTTATTTTATAATATATTACAACAGAGAACAATTATAATAATATTTCACAATATTACTGTTTTTACAGTATTTTTGAAGAGACGACTTTCAAAAACATTTAAAAATCTTACCAACCACAAACTTTTAAAGTTTTCACGCTGCTCTTTTCCATATGACATACTCAACATTAGTGTTTGTGTTTCTTCTTTTTCTTGTGCAGGGCTCTCAGAGAGTGAGCATGAAGTGTGAGTCTCTTTCCACCACCAAGGGTCCAGTGGCTGATAAACCCTTTCCTTATTCTGACCATGAGTCTCTGACTGCTGAACTGGCCCTCAGCAGACAGCATGGATCGAGCGACGGTGAGGATAACCAAGGAAACCCTGCTGTAATGCAGTTCATATATGCACATACTATTGGATGTTAAAAGCAAACTGTAGGTTGAATTCATTTTTACTCTGTATCACCCTATCTTCCTCCAGCACTGGCTGCATCAGAGCAGATGGATGTGGTGGCAGAGGCACGTGCGGTGGTGAAGGAAGGTCTGTGTCAGACAGAGGCCCTGCGGGACAAAGCCATGCGTCTGATGTTCGGCGGGCTGCTGTTACTGCTGCTGCCGCTGGCTATGGCCTTCCTGCCCTGCTTCTGCTCCTTCAGCACGCTGGGGCTTCTGGGAGCTGTGTGCATGAGCCTGCTCCTCTCTGGAGCTCTGCTCTACCTGCTCTTCACCACACTTTCCCACTAATCTCATTAATACTTTCATTTCAGATTCTTACATTTGATCTATAAATTCAATTATAATAAAGTGATTATCTATACGTTACCAAATTAAAGCATTTGATCAGTGCCCTGAGGCTATACCTACCTCAACTCAGTGAATAGACAGATTAATCATCACAGAGCTGCTGCTCTTTTGCATTTCAGCGAACTGAAAATCTTCAACACTTGAATGGAAAGCCCTGTTTATTTCCTTGAGGGAAGTTATTTAATTCTGTGCTTGTCTATGTCTGTAAAGACACTCCAAACAGTGTGCTTACTGATATTTTAATGTAATTCAAAAGAGACTTAAGTCAATTTTTTTAATGGTTGTTGTTGAAGTATTAGACCACATTTTAGGCAACTAATAAACACTGTTTGAATGTCATTTCATCTTAATCATGAATAAATAAATCACTATTCTGAAGCATTTTCATATTTACTGTAGGGTGGCTTAATTCCCTCCCTTTCCACAAGGAAGCGCTCTTGCTCTTGTATGCAAGAGCATAAATGGTGAAAGGGTCAGTAGAAGTTCTGAAGTTCATCATAAATTAAAAAAATATATAATAATAATAAATAAAAAAAGTTTAAGATCCATTCTTTATTGAATGGAATATTTACCATAGATGTAACATTTTTACAAAAAAAAAAAAGTTATGCTAAAACACAAATATTGCAGCCATTGTTATGAAATTAAATTTGTGTGATGAATTAATATCTGGTTTGTGGAACTGAAGAGTGAACAATAACAGTTTAGTTTCTGAGTATAAGTCATCTGTATCCTTTTAGCCGACATTTGTTTTCTGTGGTTAGCAAGCTATTTTTATTTTTAGCTTTCATTTTGTTCCAAAGAAATTCTAAACAGTCAGCAACAACAACTTTCATTTTCATAACATTTGAAGACTGTAACTTTGACTCAACCGATTCGTTCAAAACACGGAATCAATCAGCAATGAATCGGCTGGTTGCTGTGAGGTGCGCTGTGTTCCGCCTACAATGTAAGTGACCTAATATTATTGTATTTTTATATTGAACTGTTTATAGAACTATTAAACAGTCGTAATGGTGAAAACGTTGTGTGATGTTGCCTAACTAACTGTATTTGAAATATAAAAACTTTCCATTTTGAATGTTTACCTCAGGATGCTGAGTTTAGGAAGATAGGGTGATACAGAGTAAAAATGAATTCAACCTACAGTTTGCTTTTAACATCCAATAGCATGTGCATATATGAACTGCATTACAGCAGGGTTTCCTTGGTTATCCTCACCGTCGCTCGATCCATGCTGTCTGCTGAGGGCCAGTTCAGCAGTCAGAGACTCATGGTCAGAATAAGGAAAGGGTTTATCAGCCACTGGACCCTTGGTGGTGGAAAGAGACTCACACTTCATGCTCACTCTCTGAGAGCCCTGCACAAGAAAAAGAAGAAACACAAACACTAATGTTGAGTATGTCATATGGAAAAGAGCAGCGTGAAAACTTTAAAAGTTTGTGGTTGGTAAGATTTTTAAATGTTTTTGAAAGTCGTCTCTTCAAAAATACTGTAAAAACAGTAATATTGTGAAATATTATTATAATTGTTCTCTGTTGTAATATATTATAAAATAAAGCAATAAACCCCAAGAAGCCGTGGTTTACAGTGAATTTATAACAGCGCCCCATAGCTGTTATAAATTCACTGTAAACCACGGCTTCTTGGGGTTTATTGCTTTATTTTATAATATATTACAACAGAGAACAATTATAATAATATTTCACAATATTACTGTTTTTACAGTATTTTTGAAGAGACGACTTTCAAAAACATTTAAAAATCTTACCAACCACAAACTTTTAAAGTTTTCACGCTGCTCTTTTCCATATGACATACTCAACATTAGTGTTTGTGTTTCTTCTTTTTCTTGTGCAGGGCTCTCAGAGAGTGAGCATGAAGTGTGAGTCTCTTTCCACCACCAAGGGTCCAGTGGCTGATAAACCCTTTCCTTATTCTGACCATGAGTCTCTGACTGCTGAACTGGCCCTCAGCAGACAGCATGGATCGAGCGACGGTGAGGATAACCAAGGAAACCCTGCTGTAATGCAGTTCATATATGCACATGCTATTGGATGTTAAAAGCAAACTGTAGGTTGAATTCATTTTTACTCTGTATCACCCTATCTTCCTCCAGCACTGGCTGCATCAGAGCAGATGGATGTGGTGGCAGAGGCACGTGCGGTGGTGAAGGAAGGTCTGTGTCAGACAGAGGCCCTGCGGGACAAAGCCATGCGTCTGATGTTCGGCGGGCTGCTGTTACTGCTGCTGCCGCTGGCTATGGCCTTCCTGCCCTGCTTCTGCTCCTTCAGCACGCTGGGGCTTCTGGGAGCTGTGTGCATGAGCCTGCTCCTCTCTGGAGCTCTGCTCTACCTGCTCTTCACCACACACATCAAAGTCCTGAAAGAGACTGAAGACCAGATGATGCTGACCTCTAATGACCTCCAGACTAAGCTGGCAGGATGTCGGCTCTCTGGATGCCCATCCTCAGATGGCTCTCCGGATCTCCAGCCGCTGAGTCCTTTTAAACGGGAAGAATAAGGTTGACCCGTAAGAGCTGGTCCTGGATCAGGTTTCTGTACCTCAGTGTTACATAATAGCTGTTAGGATATAACTTGAAGAGCTGATCCGAGATCAGTGCCCTGAGGCTATACCTACCTCAACTCAGTGAATAGACAGATTAATCATCACAGAGCTGCTGCTCTTTTGCATTTCAGCGAACTGAAAATCTTCAACACTTGAATGGAAAGCCCTGTTTATTTCCTTGAGGGAAGTTATTTAATTCTGTGCTTGTCTATGTCTGTAAAGACACTCCAAACAGTGTGCTTACTGATATTTTAATGTAATTCAAAAGAGACTTCAATTTTTTTAATGGTTGTTGTTGAAGTATTAGACCACATTTTAGGCAACTAATAAACACTGTTTGAATGTCATTTCATCTTAATCATGAATAAATAAATCACTATTCTGAAGCATTTTCATATTTACTGTAGGGTGGCTTAATTCCCTCCCTTTCCACAAGGAAGCGCTCTTGCTCTTGTATGCAAGAGCATAAATGGTGAAAGGGTCAGTAGAAGTTCTGAAGTTCATCATAAATTAAAAAAATACATAATAATAATAAATAAAAAAAGTTTAAGATCCATTCTTTATTGAATGGAATATTTACCATAGATGTAACATTTTTACAAAAAAAAAAAAAAGTTATGCTAAAACACAAATATTGCAGCCATTGTTATGAAATTAAATTTGTGTGATGAATTAATATCTGGTTTGTGGAACTGAAGAGTGAACAATAACAGTTTAGTTTCTGAGTATAAGTCATCTGTATCCTTTTAGCCGACATTTGTTTTCTGTGGTTAGCAAGCTATTTTTATTTTTAGCTTTCATTTTGTTCCAAAGAAATTCTAAACAGTCAGCAACAACAACTTTCATTTTCATAACATTTGAAGACTGTAATATGTCATAAATCCATGCATAATAATTATACAAAACTATTGTTATCGTTTAAAAAAAAAATTTTTTTGATCTAATTTAGCATTTCATACTGCAGGACACGTTGATATTTTATGCCAAGCCTAATAATGCTACATCAGACTTCAATTGCAATTAACACAAGTAAAGATTTTGGCTTCTAGTAGGTTTTTAGTTAAGTAGTTTGGGAAACCATTGCCATAACAATAATATTTAAAACAAAATAATTAACATCTTAACCCTTTTGTTATATAACAAAACAGTACAGATACTCTATGGTATCGAGCTTAGATGGTGGAAATGATACTTTTCAACGAAATTAAGACGCCAGTAGGTGCCAGTAGTGAGCGTTTAATGAGTGAGTCACTGAGTCGTTCATTCAAACGATTCGTTCAAACTGCAGATTCATCAGATGTTTATGCATGGGCTAATGAAACTTTATTCTGTCAATAGATGCATTATCGGGGCTCAGCCCCGGCCCAATTTAAACTCTGCTGGTAAGTGAATGTCAGTCTTTGTACGAGTGTTGCCGCCTGCAAAATCTGTCACTGAAGTGTGATGTTAGAGACGAGCACTCGGTCATTAACATCTCCCATCATCCACACTGGAGTATGTGAACATGACACTATCCAATAACAGCGTATCACACTTTCATGAATAGGCCTATAACAAACACGTTTCTATAGATAGGCAGAAATAGTTGAACCACAATTCTTTAACTCACAGACAACTATCACACAAATGCTGCAAGCAGACATGCAACTCATAATAGCTACTGCTTTAATCAAGGGTGTGTAAATTTGGAACATTATAATCAATGTAATTTCAGTTATCTTGTTTTTTTGTTTTTGTTTTTTTATTGTGGACACACGGTTTCTTTTTGGAAGGTGGTACTTTTGCGAGAGAACACAGTTTCTTTTTGGAACGGTTATTTTGCGAGGGAATGCAACGTTTCTCTTTGGAACGCAAGAATTTTGCGAGAGAACACAAAGTTTTTGCTCCCAAAACTTGAACCCAAAGTTTCAGGGGAACGCAAAGGTGTGCTAACTATATTCTACTATAGAAAGAAAGAAAGAAACTTTTCAGTCATACATTATAGTCAAATATTAGTTTCTTTTTGGAACGGTTATTTTGCGAGGGAATGCAACGTTTCTCTTTGGAACGCAAGAATTTTGCGAGAGAACACAAAGTTTTTGCTCCCAAAACTTGAACCCAAAATTTCAGGGGAACGCAAAGGTGTGCTAACTATATTCTACTATAGAAAGAAAGAAATAAACTTTTCAATCTTTAATACATTATAGTCAAATATTTTCAATCATGTGTACCAAACAAAAACAAAACATATTTTTTATGACCCTACTTATAATTCATAGACAGATAGATAGATAGATAAATAAAGTTAGATGCCTGTGAACAACAACTGCTCTATTAAACCGGGTTGCTAGGGAACGCCAGGTAATTGACAGGTTTAAATGTGAATGTGCGCCTGTGATTGGTCCGCAGCGCGACCCGTCGAGTGGGCGTGACCTTAGGTGTGGTTCCCCACTGAAGCGCACAAACTCGCTGTACATCCGCAGCCGCGCGGGAGTCTCGTGTTGTCGAAGCACAGCCCGTCGGGTTTGGCAGAACCACCGAGAGCAGCGATGACTGTCGAACCGATTCGCTCGACTCTGAGCACCGTCTCGACGGAGGACACCTCTCTGGTGCTGCCGTCCGACAAAAAACAGCAGACGGGGCAGCAGCGCGTCCTGGAGCAGGTGAAGTCCATTAAGAGAAGCAAGTCGAAGATGGTCAAGAATGACTCAATCCCGTCGCCAACATGTAAGTGCGCTGTTTATATGCACACATGCGTTAGTTATAATGCCAGAAAGACAGCTGAAATAAATCTTACCAAAAAAAACTTGCTTGTTTGGCAGTATCTGAAAACATTTTTTTCATTAGCAAGTTGAAGCTGGTCTTTATGGCAAAGCTGCATTCATTTTTTTGTAATCAATATAAATATCTCAAACACGAGTTTTTGACAGGGAACTAGAACTAGAAGCCTACATAGACTGCATTGTTGGGGCTGACACACTCACATTTTGTCCCAAAATGCTGCATGCATCCTAAATACAGTATAAGTATGTTGCAGTGAAACGTTTAATTTTACAATTAAGAATGTTTCCAGTGAAGTCAATAAATTCCAGGTCACTGTTTCATAACTAATTACTGTAAAAAATAATCATATCATACATTGTGGGATATAGTTTAGTTGTGTTTTGAAATCATCGTGATTTATTAATGTTCCATTTGGCTGGAAGCAAGTATAAGCGTACTGTAACTTGCATAGCAATTGTACTTTGTAGTGAAGAACTAATAATATCAGTTTTTAATAAACAATTGGGACTCGTCTAGTTATTATTTATTAAACATAGCTAATTGTTTATCCCTTTGGGCATGCAACACTATTTATTTATTTATCTCTAGTGAACTTTTAGTATGAGTTGTAAACACTCAACAACAAATACACAAAGGTCAACAATATTGAATTTTCCAAAAACATAATTATTGATTAAAAGAACTTGGATCACAAAGTAAGTACACATGACAGCGAAAATTGCAACAGAACAAACTTTTGCTTGTGAAAAAGAAGTACGCTTTAGCATACTTAAAGAGTAATTATTACGGAAAGTATGTACTTTAAAAGAATATACTTAAATGTGAACTGTTTTCAAACACTTAATTACATGTTATTTATTGAACAATTTAATGAAAATTTATTTCAGTTTAAATTTTATGAAGTGCAATTAGCTGAACCTTAGAAAGCTTTTAGACCCGTTTAGGTATCTTTACATGTAATTTCATAATACTTACTATTCTATTCATATACTATTCATCATACTTCTATTGTCTTTGAAATAGGGTTTAAGTGCACTGCTGAATGTACTGACAAGCGTTTATGATCAACTAAAATATGCTTTAATGCCATTCTATTGAAAATTATGTAGTATGTTTGTATATATATATATATATATATATTTAATTACACATTTGTAATGGTGAAGTTGCATTTTACTTCATTTAAATATATTAACTTTAAATGCAATGTGTAATAACACACAAATAATCCAGTACTTTGCATGTGCTGTAGTATGTTAGTCAAGGGATCAAAATGTGTGTACTTCTTTAAAGCATGACAAAATATTATTAAAACATTTCAAATGTGCTTCAGAGTAAATCTTTTATTTTTTGCATTTAAACACTTCTTTTTTTACAAGGGTTCACATATTTTTAAAAATGCAACCACGTCATTTATTCATGCCACAGTGCATGCTGGGAATCTAAGCACCAGCGTAGCACTCTGTGGCCATCACACTATTACATATCATCTATAAATATACAAGCGATGACTGTAACACAGACACTTGTGATTATTGTGTCTGTGAGGTCGCAGTACACAGACTCCATTTAATTGTAAAAAATCGTAGAACTGCTACTGTAAAACTGGAATGTACTGTAGCTCCACATCATTTTGTGAGCTTATGCTGCCCAAAATGCTGTCTTGGTAGGCCACTCACTATAAGCTTTGAGACACAGACGTAATATTGGGATCCAGCCAGTGTTTAGAAGTGACCTGCTGTCTAGTTCAGAAGTTTGCTGATTTGCATTTAATTTAATTGCATTTAATATCCCAGTGATTTTTGCTAAGAGAATGATAAGATAATAATGTGTCTTGTTCAACACAGTTGCAGATTGGATTTTATTATAATAACAGACTTATAATTCTTAACAAATCAATATTGCATGTGCAAGAATATATGAAGTTTAAAGATATTTCAGCCGGTCTGAATGTGGGTTGCTGATTAAAAAAAAACATAAAAATGAATCTTTCTGCACCGAATGTTTGGATAAAATTGTATTAATATTTAAAAGAAAATGTGCATTTTAATTGCATTTTAATATGTAGTTTCTCAATGAACATGTAGTCATAAAACTGCATGTATAATTGTACAAGAATTAGAAAGTAATTTTTGTAGTTTAAAGTAGTTTTAGAGTATATCATGACGCTCTGCTACCACTAATGATGTTAATGTAATGATGTTTATTAATGCTATTAATGGACGTTATTATAAAGTGTTAGTACACATACGATAGTTATTTATTAGTAATTATTTGTCTCTTTATAGAATTTTTGAAAATGAAAGTTATATTGCATATAAGTGAGACATTTGGATAGTGCTGCATAATTGATCGAAATAAAACCAAAATCATGATATGGCTTAATGCGATTATTATAATAAATGTCTAGTGTTTCAAATTGAGTTTGTTAAAATAAACGTTTGGTGTTTTAACGTTTTAAAATTAATAAATTAGGACAGCAATAGACATTAATACTGTAATTTTACATTTACAGTTAGCACTGTAAGATACAATTAAATGATTCTATATTTTTTCTTAAATGCTTGATTTGTTTACTATAATAACATTTCTTATTTTATTGTTTTTTATTTAGTAATAATAATAATAATAGTTTTTTATTATTATTATAGTCATATTTATATATACTTTCACATTTTCATCCCTACAAACAAACAAAGCCAAACTGGTGTACTAGACTGTGTACTAGACATTTACTAAAGGTGCCATGTTTAATTAGCTAGTTTAGACACTAGTGAATTATTATTATTATGTCATTTGTAATTTTGTTTGCATCTTCTGTAGCTCCGGCATCGGCGACAGAATACAGTGAGCCTAAATTCCAGTTCTCGCCTACAAATATGAACGGCACACTCTTCAAATTTAGCGGCTCCAACATGACAGCAAGCCACAGCAGAATGGTAAAGTCTCACACACTATGTGCTCAGCAGCATGATTTATATATATATATATATATATATACTGTACTGCTTGACAACACTTATTTATGATTGCTTATTCTCCACATAACTTCTATAAGTATTTTGATATTCAGCAAAGAAATGAACTTAACAAATTTACTCTTTTATATATATATATATATATATATACTGTACTGCTTGACAACACTTATTTATGATTGCTTATTCTCCACATAACTTCTATAAGTATTTTGATATTCAGCAAAGAAAAGAACTTAACAAATTTACTCTTTTATATATATATATATATATATATATATACAGTATTACTAAATTGGAATAAAATCATTTTGTTAGATGGATTTTTTCATAATTGATAAACTAATAAAGTTTTGTTGAATTTGATATAGGCAGACCTTGACGCTTAATTTTTTTCCCCCAATGAACACATGTGCTCCTGATTTGAAAAATGTAGGAGTGCATTAAAAATCTTTTGGGACGCAATTAAAATTTAATCAAATAATGTGTTTTTCTTTAATGAATGGATTACAAGCAAGACATTTACAAGCAAGTTTATTAATAACATTAGGCTGTTTCTTGATTCCCGTTTTTCCATCCCCATTTTCAAGCCAACTTTTTTCTAGTCATTGTTGAGTGAATCTCACAAAATCATTTCCAGGTCACATTTACCCTTAACGACTAAATATATAGACTATATATTATTTATCATTTCAATTAGTCACACACACACTATTCTCATTATTCTGTTGTGAAATAACATGTATATAATTAGAATTTTAAGCTTTATTCATGAACAAAGTTCATTTGTCATGTGTTTGGACCAATCTATTACACTAATAACAATCGAAAAGAAAATCAGAAGAATGTCTGAAGAATTACAGACAAATTAAAAAGTAAAACATCCAGATATATTACAGTAAAGAGAATGCAATTTTTTGCATTACAGTATTTTATTCATGCATAATGTATATTTTTGGTTTTCATTTTAGTTTATAATTTGACTGGCATTATTATGATATTCATTTTTTAGCACTGCATTTCCTTTTCACTAGATATTTAAGGCACAGCGTTTGTGAATTAGCACACTCAGAACTCAGCAGTCTGCTGTATTGTGATTTGAAACAGTTTATTAAAACAAGCTGGTGGCTGTTGTGAAGAAAAAGGCTGGTGGAACACTTTTGCTCATTTTTTTCCCCTGTGTGTGTTTATTCTTAAACCAAGAGTATTTTGTTTATGCAAAAACATTACAGCGTAATACCTAAGAATGAGCTCTGTCACTCGGTGTTTGGCATTTGTTCTGTAGACGTTGCCCAAGAAATGAGGGGTTTTTATTATGCTTCATTGAATGACAGCTTCTAAAAAGATATAATATGTTTATTATTGCAAGATTCTAGATAAAATCTGCTACAGGGTCATTTATTATGAGATTATAGTAGAGATCGACCGATATATCGATTTCCCGATATTTTTCCCGATATTTAAGCATTTTACCATAATCGGATATCGGTTTTGTAATATCGGATTCACCGATAAACGCCTATTATTCTATATTTTTATTTATTATATTTTTAATATTTTTCTTATTGTTAATATTAGTGTTGTTGCTGTTGATGCTTTTTATAAATAAAATGTTTTTTTATTGTTGTAGTATGAAGATTAATTTTAACATGAAAGACTGCTAATTTTCAACACTTTAAAAAAAAAAAGATGACTGAAAAGAGGAAAAACCAAAGTGAAGTATGTTCTTACTTCACTCAGTCATTTATTTACTTTATAACAGTAAATAAATATTGGTTCTGCATATCGGTTATCGGGCACATAAACATGCAAATAATTGGTATCGGTATCAGTTATAAAAAAATCAATATCGGTCGATCACTAGATTATAGCATTTTGTAGTTTAACTTTGATCAGACCGGCTTTTGTTTTTTTTCCCACATAAGTGCGTCAAGAATGGTGTCAGATTTTATGAACAAATTTGAATTTAAACATGAAAGTATAAGAAGGTTTTGTGTTTCAAAGCATCACAGTGTAGTTGCTGTGAAATGGTTTTGTGCATTTATGAGAAATGTGTCAATACTTATTAACTTTAACAGTAGCACTGTCAATGTCAAATAAATGGGGTAAGCCATTCACATTCTTAATTACAAGAAGAATATACGCATCAGGGTTATTATAGTTTACATAGAAATTAAACCATAAAACAAGCAAGTTTATGTTAATTTGAAACAAAACTTTAACTGAAATAAAAAAAAAAAACACCTGACATTTTATTTCAGCTAGTTGCCAAGGCTTGCTGTACTAAAATAACTAAAATAAAAATGAATGAAAATTATATTGACATATTAAAAGAAAACTAATACAAATGACAAAAACACAAAACAAAATTACCAAATCTTTTACTAAAATTATAATGAAAACAGAAAATATAAGCGTAAAAACTAATTAAAATAACTAATAGTATCTAGGTGATACTAAAAAACCCAGGTACACCACATTCATTTTTGCATGTTTGGATAGACACTAAAATGTAAAAATGGCATGTGAAATATAAGCCTTTTCAAAATTGTATTTGCATTCATGATATTGTTGACAATAATGTACAATAATGTAGACAGATAAATTGTGGACAAACATACATTTACAATCTCTCTCTCTCTCATTTTTTTCCCCTTTTCTCCATCTTGAAAATTTTCGTCACTCTTTAAGCTTTGCCTTTGGCTTTGCCTTGGTCTTTAAGCTTTGCAGTAGATATGTAAAGCACACCATTTGTGAATTAGCAGCACTCACACTCAGAACTCAGCAGTCTTCTGAATTATGATTTGAAGCAGTTTATTAAAATAAGAAGGCTGTTGGAACAGGTTGGTTCATTTTGTTCCCTGTGTGTTCATATTTTTAAACCAAGAGTATTTTTAATCAAACCGATTGCCTTCTAGCAATGTACTCACTTGCACTTTATGCAAGTCCTTTCCTGTGCCTCAGATTTTCTTTCTTTTTCTGCATCTTGATTTTTGTAACTGAATCTCAAGAGCTCTGTGCCCCGCTGGATCAATTCCGAAAAAAAAAAAGTCTGAATTGTGAGATATGTGGTCGCAATTCCGAAAAAAAAAAAGTCTGAATTGTGAGATATGAGGTCGCAATTCTGAAAAAAAAGTCTGAATTGTGAGATATGAGGTCGCAATTCTGAGAAAAAAGTCTGAATTGTGAGATATACACTTGAAATTGTGAGATAAAGTCAAAATTAACTTTTTTATATATTTTTATTTTGTGGCAAAAATATGCTTCCATAAAATTTGTGTAGAAACTAAGGGGCAATTCATAATTATTTTTTAATTTAGCTGAAGTTGTATGCATATAAATACTGATAATAAATATAGCTGCAACGGGGCCAAGCACTACAGAAGCAAGCGTCAGACCAACTGCAGAAATGAGTAATTGAATTGCCATCATGGCTGAAAAATCATAAATACAACCACTAGTAATATGATTTAATGGCTTATCACGTTTGGCCAATAGGTGGCGCTGTTGTCAAATCGATGTGGTGTATTCTGTGTGAGTTGACAATGGCACACAAAAAGTTTGGTGTCAATATGTCAAAGCTTTGCAGAGATACAGCCTCAGACATAGTTTGGCATCATGCCTCAAATTTGTTGCGGCGCTATGCAAAAACAGTTTTGTCTATCAACTTTTTGTTAGCACAGTCTGAAGATAATCTGTCTCGATTTTTGTGAAAATCGGACCAATGGACTAGGAGGAGTTTGAAAAAGTATGTTTTCAACATAAATCAAAATGGCGGACAGGAAATTTGGCCAACTATGGCAAAATTGGTATCTATGTTCTCGGCAAGACCCAAGGAATATTTTGAGACCTGTTCCAATAGGCTAATTGAATCAAAAATTATTATTAGCTTTTTTTATTAGCTTTTATTAGCTATTTAATTATTTTAATTATTAGCTTTTTTGGAAATTTCATTATTAGTGGTTAATGAATGGTTTATTACGCTGTGACCAAATTAATGTGGCATGGTCAGAGTGAGGTGACAATGGCACATAAAAAAGTTTGGTGTCAATATGTCAAAGCTTTGCAGAGATACAACCTCGGATGCAGTTTAGCATCGTTCCAGCAAATTCGTTGATGCGTTAAACGATAACTGTTTCGTATATCCACACGAAATCCATAACTTTTTGCCAGCATGGTCTGAAGGTTTTCAACATGAATTAAAATGGCGGACAGGAAGTTTAGCTGACTATGGCAACATTGGTATCTATGTTCTCGGCATAAACAAACGAATATGATGAGACCAGTTTCATTACAATAGCCCAATTTATTCAAACGTTATTAGCATTTTTGTACATTTCTTTATAACTTTATAACCCCAAACTTTTTGAGTACTGTCAGGTAGGGGTGGGCGATCTTCCCAAAATACCATATCACAATCTTGTCACACAAAATCACGATCCACGATCTGAATCGCAATCTTCCCAATTTTGAGATGCACTATTGAGAATATCCAGAGTGGAACAAGCCTATGACTTACCTATTTGAACTATTTAAAACAGAGTATTGCATTAAACAACCAAAATGGACATTACATCCTGAGTTAAACTTTAAAACACTACATCACTGTATGAATCAAATATACATTACTTCTTATTAAAGTTATAAAGTGATTAATTCAAGAGCAGTGAGTGATTTTCTTTGTCTTTTGTTGTTTGATTAACATCAATGATACAGACAGCAGTAGGTTTATTAGGCTGCTGTCTCTTTAAGACCGAATGCACAGATCTAATATACTGACATGCATCCGATTTCTTTCCCAATTGTTTATGTTCGCTTAAGACGTAACTGACTGTCTTTATGTAAATACTCGCCAAGACAGACATTTTGACACATTATTGTGTATATTTGACCATTTATGCGCGTGCCTGAAAATCCACATATACAGTGCACAGCATAAATGAGTACACCCCCTCTAAAAC